TATGTAAAAACATATTGTCTGAAATAGCCTGAATACATAAATTATTGTTGTAAAGGGCTACAGAGTAAACGTAACCTGAATAATGATGATGATGTCAACTCTGCTGTGATACATTATAAATACAAAGCGACGCCTTGTACCTATAAAGGTGAGAATACATAAGACGCTTTCTTGACTGGCTTCTTCGAAAAGGAACAAAGGAGCGTAGTGTCAAAATCGAACTAAGGCAACCTAAAATTCCTCTACGAAGAAGCCAGCAGATTCTTAAGCTAGCCAAAAAAGCGGTTTATGTATTCTCAGCTTTAGTCAAAACACAAAAAAAGATGTTACCGTATGAGTACTCGGTCACTTAAAGACTGTTTACACCGACATCTAAATTACGAGACTTGCGATGTAAAAAGAACTATAACTACCCACCTACATTTAATTATGCATTTAATCATGATAAAGAAAAAAGGTCGCATCAACTCAGTTGTCAAAGAATTTTTGAAATGCAAACATTTTTGAAATATCAATGTTCCCAAGCGTTAATGCATCTCTCTGTATTCTTCTATCATGCATTTAATGAAGATTTATTATTTATTTGACGTATAACCAAAGGATTTGACAATCTAAATGACGCGTTTTACGATAACGTGTTCGATGTAAATAGACTTATTCCGCTTGGGAACATTGATATGTCAGAAATTTAAAAATCTTTAAGTAGATTTTATTACTTTTATTATATGACACCATATTTGAATAATTTTTCAATCAAAATTTTCAATTTCACAACTGGTTTGACAGTTCATTGTCTTAGCAGCTGTGTCGATGCGACTTATAGCCACTTCTAGTATGCTTAGCCCCATGGTAGAAGAATATAGGTGGACGCGTCGACACAGCTGCTGGGACAATGAACTGTCAAACCAATTTTGGAATTGAAAATGTTGAATGAAAAATTATTTAAATTTGTAAAAATTGTTAAAAATGCGAATTATAATAGCTTCCGAATGACGTAGTATAAGAAAACATATAAAAATCTACTTATATTTGTAAAAACATTTACATTTTTTGACATATCAATGCTCCCAAGCGTTGATGCATCTACCTGTATTCTTCTGCCATGCTTAGCCATTAGTCTTAAAATACGTTTACAATTACAAAATCTAGTGGATTTCATTTAGATTGCCAAGGATTTACGTAAAGCACATAATTTAGGTGGCGGTGTAATTCAAACGCTAGAGAAATCATTTTTTTTGGAAGTGGTGTAAAAAGGCGAAGAATTTTGAAGCTTTGTGTTTTAGCCTTCATTGGTCATGTAAGTTCTACGTTATGTTTATATTTTTGTAAATGTCCTAAAAATGTATTTTAGTTCTGTTTTCTCTTTTTATTATTAATTTTGCTCTTTTTCTTGTTCTCCTAATATATATTTATGCCAAAATTTTTTTAAGTATGAGTGTGTGTATGATTTTTTTTATATTGGACTCCACATAAGCTATAGCTTATTAAGTAGGTGAATTGGGTTAAATTGGTTATAGTTACGGATTTGATTTTGTCTGTTCTTTATGTAGGATATAGTAATAATAATAATAATTTTAATAGAAAACGTAATTTTATACCAAAAAAAAAGGAAAAATAGAAGTGAAAAATTGCCAAATTTGGAGATTTCGTAATACTGTTAAAGAAAGTATAAACATTAAACCAACTAGCGTCATTTATTTATATCGCACGAAAACACTTTGCTATTTTATACTATTATATGAATTTGCAAACAATGCAATTTTCCCTATGCATGTTAATTTGAAAGGAAAAACAAGTAATCAAATTCGTTAAAATTGTTGAAAAATGCATTTCATAAGAACCTCCGATTGCGTTGTATAAGAAAACATATAAAAATCGACTTATTTTTGAAAAACATATTTAAAAAAAATTGACATATCTATGTTCCCAAGCGTGGATGCATCTACAGCATCTACTGTTTTACCTCCTTAGTTTTAATTTGGAACGAAAATAGGTTAAAAGTACGAAATTGAAAGTTGAAAAAATTCAACTTTGACGGAACATAAATTACAGATAATGCAGGCTACCTTGAAATAATCGTACCATGTTTGTATCACACCAGAATTAAAAAAGTTAATATCATTTGCCAAATCGCTAAAGGCATCCCGTTTTATACCCTCAGCTATATGACTACACATTCGGACCAAATCCATTTCAGGACTTTTGGAGTCGATCTGGGGGTGTCCGTCTGCCTGTCTGGCTGGTGTGCACGTAGTATTATTATCAAACTCAGATCGAGTTCGGAGATGAACAATATCGGCCCACACCTTCTGGCACCCAAACAAAGGTCAACATTTTCACAGAAAATAATTTAACTTATAGAACATTTAATTTAGTTCAAACTTTGCAAGCCCTAATGTTTTCATCAGCGCTAGGTCAGATGCGAAAATGGACTGTATCGCCTCACTCTATCAAGTACCTCTCACACTCTTATAAAATGTGAAATAGGAACTCGATTATTTTCAAATGTCGCACATCTCAATATTTCCAACACAAGATCTGGTGCGAACAAAGGATGGAACAGGCCACTCCTTCTAATACCACCCCCACAACAGGTCAACATTTTGAATAATCATGCAGCTCATAAAATCTAAAATCAACATTTGGCTTATCCCAGTCGGACCACGTCTTCGGGTATCTCTCCCAAAATTGTTGAATAATTATAATCCTCACAAAATGTAAAATATGCATCAGATTCTCTTCAAACTTCAAACATCCAGAATATTTCCTCGGCCCATTTTTTCTGATGCATCTTCCACAAATTATCTGAATTTTCAATATTTATATCTCTCATAACTTTCAAACTTTATAATATGAATAGTCCTCCCGTTGTGGGGAGGTACAACGGGCTAAAATTCTGATTAATAAATATTCGCATAAAATTGGAAATAAATGCTCGATGTTCTTTAAAATTTGCCCATCCCAATATTTTTATCAGTGTTAGATGAAGTATGACATTTAAAAAAGCAGTAAATTCGGCCGATGAATAATGTCACTAAAATCGTCAAAATACCAAATATAGGGAGGTACCGTTTTATGGAGGCTATACGAAGATGTGGGCCTGCATTCGCAATTTTTTGCCATAGGCTGCAGTACCCATCACAAATTCTAAATACGTAATCCGAAACCAAATCCGGTGAATAATGTCCCTAAAATCGTAAAAATATCGTATATCGGGGGGTACCTTTGTATGTTGGCTACACGATATCGTGGACCTATATAGACATTTCTCTTCCAGAGGATAAAAAGAACTTGTAGTATGGATGGAATGTAGATAAAATCATCATAAAATACCGAACATAGGGAGGTACCGTAATATGGAGGATACGATATCGTGTACTTATATAGAATATACTCATCCAGGGGGGTGAAGTACTCAGAAGGAACTCCTTTGGTGAATTTTCAGACAATTTCATTGAAAAATTAGGTTACTATCATCAAAACACCGAATATCGGAGGTACCGTTATAGCACATCTTCCAAATTGACTTGGCTGCAAACCTAATCTGTGCAAAATTTTAGCTTCCTATCTTCATTCGTTTTGACTCTAGCGTGATTACAACAGACGAGCAGAAGGACGGACAGGGCTAAATCGTCTTAGAATTTTACGCTGATCAAAAATATATATACTTTGTTATGTCTAAAATTATTATTTCGATGAGTTACAAACAGAATGAGGAACTTAATATACTCTCCATACTATGTATGTTGGAGGGTATAAAAAGCATGGAACCCTTCGGTCCACTATATTTGTTGCCTCACGCACATTTCCACAGTTTCCAAAATTATCATATATCTTGTAAAAAGTGAAAGAAGTAGTCTATAAAGTTCAAATCTGACACGTTTTAAACATTTAATATTGACTTCCACTTCTCAAAAGCAACTATGGGTATATCTCGCTTCCTTCTCAAAACACATAGACATAATACCCTCCACTATGTGGTGTAGGGTATAATAAAATCCACTGGATTCAAAATTTGAAGTGTGCGCAATAAGAAAAGTGACTTGGATACAAAATTTTTGTTTTGGAATATATGTATAAGAATACCCGCTGAGTTCAAGTCCATGTATCAGCACAATCAATTAGAATATGCCAAGGTACAAACCAGGGAAATACAATAAGCCACTTCATTTAAAAAAAAAAACATGATAAATGGACTGATAGAAAATATTGGGGTTTAGTCAACTATCTTCAGAAATAAATAAAAAATAACTTTTTTTGAACATTTTTTTGAATGCATTTTTTTTATTCAGAAACTTAAGAAATTAAGGCGTTTTTCAAAATGGCCATAAAACTAAACAACAAATATTTCATCAATAATAAAATAAATGTAAAAAAAAAACAATGGAAAATATTATTAGAAAAAAATCTATATATGTATGTGTGTATATATGCGTATGTATGAATATACAAAACATTTGTTTCTATATATCAAAATCAAATATAGTATTAAATAAATACATAAGCTTTTTTTATTTAAAATATAAATATTTATTTATAGATAATTACTAAATTCAAACAATTGTCTAAGCTCTAGAGCTTTACAAAATATAAACTGAAGTTTTCCAAAACTAAATTGTTGAAGTATATGTTTAGGTATTTATTAGTAAATACAATTGAAATAAATATTATTAAATAATACTTAAGCAATGTTATATAAAAATAGAATTGAAAACACACACAAAACTAAATGGATATATTTTTTTTTTGATTTTTTAGCGGAAAATAAAGAAAATTTATTGAAAAGGAGTTTAAGGTAGATATACTATCTTAAATGTGTCCATATTTCTTTAAAAATTCTCTGAAAGAACTTAAAACTGTTCGAACGTGGCGATTTTTAAAATCAGTAAGGAAATTATTTTGTTGCTTGCAAATCAATTTGGTTTGAGGAATTCAAGAGGATTAAATAGGGCTAATACACTTTTTCACTTCTATTTTAGACTTAAACTAAATGAAAAGGGTTTTTGAATATAGAAATTAGAAAATATATTCTTTTCTTAAAAAAATATACATATGCAACTTAAATTTAAACTCACAAAAGTTCCTTACAAAAACAATTTACATTACAAAAATTAAAAAAAAAACTAATTTCAAATTAGCCTTGGTTTCTAATATTATTAGAGTAAAAATAATAGTTTCAATAGATAATTCTGCTTCCGGTTTTGTGTTCTTGTTGTTGTTATTTTCTTAAATTTATGCCTAAATATTTTGGTTAAATTTTGTGGTTAGTTTTGTTGGTAACTTTTTCTTAGCTTTTGATGTTCAGTTTTTTTATTTTTTAATACTAGTTGTTGTAGTCTAGATTTGATGTACATACATACCACACACACATTATGTATGTGGATGTATGTTTTAATGTAAATGTACCTTGTATGTAATAATAGTATTTGTTTTTTAGCTTCATTGTTTTTGTGTTAATTATTATTTTTTTGTTATATAATTTAGTTTAGTTTTACACCTCCCCCCATCTTGTTGGTGAGGAGGGAGAATGCAAAATGATCTACTAAAAAAAATTTACTTAAATAAATGTTTACTGTTTCATAAAAGGCCTTAACAATTCATTTCTTTGTTTGTTGTATGCACTTTTGAGGTTATGTTTTATTTCTTGTATTGATATCCATCTGCTCTTCCACTACGTGTTGATGGGGGAGAGAGAGACAGAGAGAGCGAGAGCACGTCGAAAACAGCTCGTGTTTACATCAATCTATGAATTAACTACATAATAATCCTGCTTATTTGGCATCTTAAGAAGACGTCTGGTCCGGAACTCATATGCTCGACGACAGAACATAACCAATTCCGGATTTGTGTTCTCTGGTACAACACGTATACTATAGTAATTGGGTCGTTTCGGTACAATATTGACATCTTCGATATCTTCTTCGGCTGCTCGTAGTCTTCGGCGATATCTGGAATTGAAATAAAAAACGAAATAGTGAGAATAATAATTAAAAGTTAAGAGGTTTAATAAAACTAAACATATACAGGGTGAGATGAAAAAAACTGCAACCAGCCGACAGCTGTTAAGATTATTCCAATTACAGCTCATTATATTGTTTACAAGCGTACAAAAACATTTTGGTGAGAATTTTCCAGAAAAAAGTTATTCGTGATGGTTGGAAAACCACAAATGGCTATCGTTAGAGCACTCCAGCATTTAAATGTCAACAAATATTTTGTGTCTCGTACCATCGCTTGTTACCGTGATACTGGTAGCGTAGCCCGACGTTAAGGAAGTGGACGGAAGAAAACAGCAACATCAGCAAAAATGATTCGAAAAGTAAAAAAGCGACTTGATCGGAACCTGCGTCGCAGTGACCGAAAAATGGCTTGTGAGCTGAACATATCGCAATATTCCATTCGGCAAATATTGAAAAATGAACTCGGGGTAAATCCATTGAAATTCCTAAAAGTGCACGAACTTACACCGAAAGTGGTGAACTGCCGAATTTTGCTTTCTCCGATGAGAAAACATTCGTTGTCCAGCAGTTTGTAAGCAAACAAAATGATCGTGTTTACTTGCCAAAGAAGTCAGCTAAAAATGTGCACCTTCGGTTGGCCACCAGGCGCCGGCCATGATGATGATGTGGACCACCGTAACAGCCGATGGTCGCTCTCCCCTCGTATTAATCGACCGTGGTATCAGAATAAATACCGAATATTATCGCGAAAATATTGTGGAGGGTGTATTCAAGCCTTTGGCACGCAAACATTTGGGCCGCAGACCTTGGACATTCCAACAGGACTCAGCACCATCGCACTCAAGCACGTGCCACCCAAGAATGGCTACAAAATGAGGTTCCTCGCCTCATTTCCAGCGCACAATGGCCACCAAAATCTCCGGATACCAATCCGTTGGACTATTGTGTCTGGAGTATATTGAAAAGCAAGGGTGGCACTAAAAAATACAAAAGTGTCGATTATCTCAAGGAAGCGCTTCGCCGGGAATCGGCTAAAATACCGCAGAGCAACATTCGGGTAGTGCGTTTGAAGGCCATAATTCGTGCCAAAATGATCAATTCGAACAAATCTAAACTTATTCTAAAATTTGATGCTATTACCGACATTTTTGCTTTCATTCAATAAAATTTAAAAAAAATGTAAAAATTGTGGCGTTTGACTTTGTTGCAGTTTTTTTAGTTCATCCTGTACTACGATCTTAAAAAAAACTTCGTACAAAGCCCTAAACATGACTGGCCCTTTTGACTGATTAAAGTCATCGGCTGGCTTCTTCTAAACTAACCTAAAACTCCTTTGTTCCTATACGAAGACGCCAGCCGATGACTTAAGCCAGTCACAAAAAAAACGTTTTATGTATTCTCACCTTTATGTTTCAGTAAAGCAAAGAAGTTTCCGTTTAATTCCTCGGCAACAATAAATAGGCTTATACCTCCTAAAAACCTGAATACTATGAATTCTCAAAGAAGAAGAGCTTTCAATTTCTGAAACCTTCGGACAAGCCACGCAATGGAGACTACCTTAAGAATTTCTCAAGATGTTTTTTCCGGACGTAGAAATCGAAAAAAACGTCGAAGTGGTCGAGAAACACCATCAGCTCAATCATGAGTGTCCGCAGGGAATTCTACTCCCACGAAAATCATTTTTCTCGAGAGATTACTCCTCCATTCATGAATAATTGAGAAGAAATAATTTGCGAATATGGCCACACCAATGGGCCTCCTTCGTACCTTGCGAATCCTATTTGTTGGGCAAATTTGAAGTGTTTTTGTTCTTTTTATGAAAATTAAATGAAAAAAAAAAAAATGGCAAATTATTGAATAAATAATGGTGTAATGGTCATGGGGTTAAGCCTAATTATTTTGCAACAACGGACAAAATATGTTGCAAACTTACTCCTCTTAAATAGTTTGGTAAAAAAATTCAAAATCAAACAATGATACGTCAAATGTTTTATCAAAAATAAGTAGATTTTTATATGTTTTCTTATATGGCACTAATCGGAGGTTGTTATGATATGCATTTTTCAACAACTTTTACAAATTTCAATAATTTTTAATTTAAAAATTTCAATTCCAAAATTCGTCTGACAGCTCTTTGTCCCTGCAGCTGTGTTGATGCGAATACCTGTATTCTTCTACCATGGTTTCTGGCAAATCGGTAGGTAAATGTAGGTATAGACAAAAGTGGGTTTTTAGATTTTTTTGAAAGGAAATGTCTTTATTTCAGTATTTCGATTTTTCCGATCAGTTGACAATCGACTTTCTATGATCTCAAAATTGAAAATCGAATACAAAAAGTCGAAGTCAATATTGCCTGCAGCAATGACCACAAATTCGATCTAGGCTTTTAAGACTAACACAGTTGTTTAATGGTTAGTCGATAGTCGACTAGAAACCACAGAAAAAAATGTCAAGGCGAAAACCCCAATAATAAAGAAGTCATGGACAAAATAAGGCAAAATAAATATTTTACAGTACCAAACCGAAGATTTCAAACAATCTAAAAATGCAAAAACTCAATAATAAAGAATAATATATTGAATGTGGATCATGGTTCAAGCCCTCCGCAGTTAAATGTGGAAGCTCACAGGAAGACAGTTAGCAATCAAAAGCGAAGGTGTACCTCAAATAATGGGACACCGAGTTCTAGAAGGAACATGTTTTCTTTAATCTAAGAATTAGGAAGGGAAGAAATTAAAAAATGTTCATGGAAGAAGTTACAAAAAAGGTTACGATGCAGGGCCTAAATAAACCAGTACCGGCTGGTGTTTGTAATCCAGCCACGAGTCACATCTCGTCGATATTCAGCGATCGTGAGCAAAATTCTTCCACAGATGTGGGCGCATTGGCATCTGTGGTCGAGGACACTGCTACAAACAGCAAACAGATTGATAAGGAAATTTCGGAGTAGGTTAAGTTCGATCCAGTATACGTCAGAGAATTTCGCAGCAAGTTCGAAACTTGAAGTCGTTGGACGCCAAAACAAGACTTTGGACGCGAAAAGATGGGAAGCATCGGATGAGCATTCCATTTCGGATCATCGATATTTAAGTTTTAAACTAACACTAATCGGAACTGCAATACGCAACTCCTGGAAACTTTTTGGCGAAAAAGTTGACAGATTAAATGATGTATCAAAAATAATTCTGAAAGATAGTGTAGGGCGTTTGGCGAACATACACTTTCCGCGGAGCAGACCGGCACGCCAAGATATGTCAGCAGCTAGTGGAAATATGATTGATGAAATTGACGAAATTACACATCATAAAATCGAAATCGACGTTAGCCGACTTTGTCAGTAAAGTTAAAATCGAAAGTCAACTTTTTTGTTTGACAATCGAAAAGTTTCAAATTCGACTTTTGTGTTGGATTACATATCCTAAGAAAGAACTACTCCATAACACTTACCTGCAGTATTCACTAAATGTCAGGACATAGCATTTATCTTCAATACAGGCAACCGAATTGTGATCACGATGTCGTGAGGCATACACCTCATCTGGGCTATCGCTGGGTTGGCGTCCCTGTTCGGTGTGTTCGGGGCGATAGTACCACAAGAGAGACATCATCATTTCACCTGTTAAAGAGAAAACAAGAGCAAGGGTTCAAATCAATCTATTTTTAAATGCATCTCAATCGGGAACTTACCATCCTCAGGATTTTCCCAGAGATGGGCAACCTTGGCCACATAGGGTAGCTCGTTATCTTCATTGGCCTTTAGAAGAACACAGTCACGGGTGCGTATAATATCACCCTCAACGTGACGCATAGCAGGATAACAAGTACGTATGACCAAAGGATCATCGCTCTGAAAGAAGCAACAACAATTATTGAAAAATATAATGTCTTTGTGTGTGTGTGTGTGTGCAACTCACATTCAAGAACACCGCCCCCTGGAACTGTTCACCCTCCCATGTCCAGCCATTATTCCATTTTGGCACAACATCATTACGTGTGGCCGGCGGCAGTGTTTCGTCCAGCTCAAACGACACTGTGGAATGTTTCAACTTTTGACGCTTTCGATTGCCAAATTTGGAACGTGAACGATTTCGCTTGACCCCATGATGGTGACACACCACCCGGGGCATTGGAGGTAATGTGGGCTGTATAAAAAGTTGTTGTTGCTGCTGCTGCTGCGGCGTTGGTGTGGTTGATGTTGTACTGCTATTTCCATTGGAATGTTCTGTCACAGATGTATGTTCTGTTGTGGATGGAAGATCAGCATCAGCTCCAGCATCTGGTAGTTCGGGGGTGTTTTGAGCGTTTAATGTGACAACAGATGAAACATTGTGCTGTTCCCCATCCAGCTCTATTACCATCTCCTTTGTCCCATCTACAGCCTGTTCCGCCGTTTCGTCGGATTTGGTATCTTCAGGAGGTTCCCCATTCAAAATTTGAGCTTCTTTAGGAATTTCATTGTTGTTCGTTTCCATTGCTGCACTGGATATCGGTTCGGCTACGCAGTCCATGGAGTTATTCTCCATCGAGTGTCGTTCCTTGGATTTTGATTTTTTAGAAGACTTTTGTTCCACCTTTGATTTTTTCGATTTTCCCTCCTTGGCGCTCTTGGTTGTCTGTTTGGGTTCCGCGGATTTGCACCTATTCTGGTCGAGATATTCAATGCTGGGATCACTAGCCGTCATGTGCGTTGTATTCGCCAAAGCTGCTGACTTTGAGGTAGTTGCTGTTAGTGATGGAACTGCATCGAAAACCGTTCGAACATTTAATGGTTCAGAGTTGATGGCATTTTGAACTTTGAGAGGTTTCTTTGTTTCCGATTTGGAACGTTTTTCCGAAGTGGTTTTTGATTTCTTGTGGATTTTATGGGCCAAAGGACTGCGGCCAGCTTTTGATTCGTTTGCCATATGGGAGGACTTGTGTGGACTGGGAGAGCATGTTGTTGTTGTTGTTGTTGTTGTGACCAGTGACGATGATGTACGGCATTCGGGTTCTGAGAAATATCCTCGGGCAACTGCATCAATAGTTTCCATTAAATGCAAGGGTATGGCTGGTTTCTTGGCCGGTTTACCTCGTTTCGGTGAGGGTTTTGGGGTTATCTGAGGCGATGACTTGGCCTCATTGTTGTTGGCCAATAATTGTGGCTGTGGCTTCTGGATTTCCAACATTTCCACTTCATCCTCAACCAAGTTAACCACCTCATCCTCTTCGGCTTCTTCTTTTTTAATAGCCTGCTCCTCTCTATCAGGTTCCTCTTCACCCTTAATGTCGGGTTGATTGCTTGCCTCTTTGGCTTCCTTGCGGCGTTTTTGCCGCAGCTCAGCTCTCCTTTGCTCCTTCGTCTCACGCCGTCGTTTCTCCATGGCTGCAAGCTTTTTCTTTCGATTCCTTAGACTTTCCTTCTGCTGATCGGTCAACATTAATTCTCGTCTTCGTATGCCATTGTTGAGGGCAGCACTACCTTTGGGCGATTTTGAGCAGTGGATGCGACCAAATCGTGATTTCTTTTCAAATTTACGACTCAGACAGAGATACGTTTTGGGTTCGGCTTGTTTAATTAGGCTCTTATAGCTGTTGGGGGGTGATTTTTTGCATTGGTTTTTGTTAATTTCCAAAATTCCTCTACGCTTCCCCGAACATTTGGGCGCCACAGGACTGTGACACAAATCGAGCACCTCATCATCTGATGTTGTGGAGAGGTCTATGTCACAGTTCACGGCTGGCAGGGGTGATCGAGCTGTGGCGGGTAAGCAGTGTCTGGAGGACAATAGACGCATTCTACCTTGAGATTTGCTAGCACCCTCGCCCATGCTGCAATTGGGCGCCACTTTTCTCTCTTCGTGTGGCGTAATAATTTCACAATCTAGCTCCACCTTTACCTTGCTTTCATGTAAAATTTCGCAGAGTGTAATCGGCTCGGCTTTTATGACTTTAAGCTCTTCTTTCTCTTGAATGATATGTTTTTGAGAGGCTGATTGTTGGCTGAGCGCCTGTTGTGGAGCGGCTGCAACATGCTGTTGCTGTTGCAGCAACATTGTATCGATCAGCTGCTCATCTTCCAGTTTGATTTTCTCGGATTTGATTTCGGCCTTAAGCAAAAGTGGGGCATGGACTTCATCGATTTCCTGTTTGGTCATGACATTATGCACCAGGTAGTGTGCTGGAGATGGAGATGCAGCTATTTTACCCAGGCCATTGTGCTCAGGTGTTGTGACTTTTTGGGTAACGGAAGTTTTTGGCAGGGGTGTTGTGGTGGCTTGGGATGAAGTGTTGCTGCTATGTAGTGGTGATGCAGGCTGGGATCCATTGCGACTCTGGATGCCAACAGGCGGTGGTGGCTGCTGTACTCCAGGCGGATTTGTAGAACTTACTTGATTGGCTGCATACACCATATTCCTGGCCATTGATTTGCCAATGCGAGCCTTCCTTCCCACCGTGTTCATATGTGGAGAATTTGTGGCTCCCACAATGGGAACGCTGGCATTTACCCCATTCGCTAGGGGTGGGGTACTGGTGGTTAAATCATAGGCCTCTATGGGTTGGACCTGGGCAGCTATGCCACGTAAATGAGAGGTGACCTCCATCTCGGCACTGTTCGCCGTTTTATCTATGACTTGATCCTGGTCCTGAATATCGGCCATATGATCGGTGTCGATCGTATCCCTTAGTTTGTCTTCATTTGTACTATAACAGTCGGGCGGTGTTAGGGGTGTAACGACATTCTCTTCGTACTGGCTCTTGTTGTCGGTGTCGTCGACAGCCAATTCGGTTTTTACCGCTATCGTTAGTAGGGGGATTTTATTCGGGTTTGTCGGTATTGGTTCCATTGGGTTGGGAATATTTTTAACTGGGCCTCTATTGGTATTGACGGCATTATTGTTGTTGGCATTCGGTGTATTGTTGTTAAGACGATTACTGTTGTTGTTGTTGTTGTTCGTCATAGTCGAATCGTTCGTTTGCGACTTGTTGTTGTGCTGTTGTTGCTGCTGCTGCTGCTGCAAACTCAATACATTCAAGGTGTTGCTGTTGTTGTTGTTGCTGCTGCAATGATTGTTGCTCATGGATGCCACCGTGGAGGTTGAGTTGTTGTTGCTGCCGCTGTGATGATTGTATGATGTATTGTTGTTGCTGCTGCTGCCGTTGAGAGAGTGATTGACATTGTTGTTGCTGTTGTAATTGCTGCTGCTGCTGTTGTTGACGATGTTGCTGTTGTTGTTGCTGCTGCTGCTGTTGCTACCAATATGAGGCCCAGTATGGACGTTTTTTGGACACGATTGTTGCATTGGACACGGACATTGTGGTGGATATTCTGGAAATGTAAAAAAAATGAGAGGAATGAAATTTGGCGAAATGTGTAGGGGGAAACTTAAAATGTCCGAAAGTTTTTGACATTTTGACAATGTGTTTTCCCGGGGAGGAATAAATTGGAAACAGCTGTGAAATGTTATATTCGTTTATAAGGAATCACTGATGGTGTGACGTGGTCAAATAGGATTTTTTACGAAGTAGTATGAATAGTACAAAAAGTGCAAAATGGTACTGCAGTGTAAATTAACCTATTCTGAAATTATGTATTAAGGTCTCTTGGGGTAAAACTTTAATAACGGCACGAAAAGTACCAAATTGTACTAAATACGTACGTCTTAATGGAGAGGTAGTTTGAATTTTGACAAGAAAATCAAGCCGTCTCAGGACATTTGGAGTCGATCTAGCGATGTCCGTCCGTCTGTCCGACTGATGCTCTCGAAGGGATTATCCGATTTGATCCAAACTTGGTACATCGAAATATTATTACCAAACATAGATCTAGGTCGGAGATGGGCAATATCGGTCCACTCCTTCCGGTACCTCCCCCACAAAATGTCAACATTTTGAAGGAAAAACAATTTACAGCGCCGAAAGAGAAAAGATAACCCGATTTTACTCCAACTTTGCAAATCCTAATATTTTTATGAGTGCTAGGTCAGGTGCGAAAATGGATAATATATGGTCACTCCATCAAGTACCTTCCCACAAAGGGGCCAAAATTTTTAATATCCATAAAGCTCATAGAACACGAAATTAACATCAGATTCCATTCAGACCTGACACAGCTCAATATTTCCATCCACACAAGATATGTTATAAAGATGGTAGAGATCGGACTATTTCTTCTAGTACCTCCCCCACAAAGGGTCAAAATTTTGAATAACCTAAACAATTTTAAAATCCGAAATAAGCATCCGGTTCTCTTTAAATCACACACATCACAATATTTTTATTAACCCAAGGTCTGGTGTTAAAATGGGATCACCATTGGGATCAAATTTTTGAGTATCCAAGAAGCTTATTAAACGCGACAAATAACGTCCGATTCCATTCAGACATGGTATATCTCAATATTTCCATGAACACAAGATCTGTTATGAAGATGGTAGATATCCGACCATTTCTTCTGGTACCTCCCCCACATAGGGTTCAAGATTTTGAAAAAACGTTCAAAGTAAGCGAAATAAGCTTCCAACTCTCTTTAAATTTCTATTGTGAGGATGATGACTTTCTGGCACCTCATCCCTTCTGGTACCTCATCCACAAATGGTCACAATTTCCAATACCTATAGCTGTCATAACTTGCGAAACAAGTCGGCGATTCTTTACAACTTGCTATATCTAAATATATATCTTAACCAGAAATCTGATATGAATATGCAATTTATCGGAATATATGATTTCGAATAAAATTGGATATAAAAGTTCAATTTCCTTCAAATTTTGCACATAACATTTTTTTATCTCTATTAGATGAAGTATGAGGATAGAATATTTCGGTCCGCTATATCTTTTACCTCTCGCATTTTTCCACATTATTCAAGAATAGGCACATACCTCATATAATGTATAGAAAGTAGTCGATATAGTCCAAAAGATACGAATTGGTCAATATTGGCCAACTGCTTTAATATTGGCCAACTGTCACATAAAGAGTCAACTCAAGGCTGGGGTTATACATCTGTTGGCAAAAACTACTGATCCTATTTTACTTGTTATTTTAGATGAACTTTTTGAGTTGGGATCTTGAAAATTGGTATTAAAATCATTTTTGGAAAGTAGAGTTCAGTTGAGGAGTTCGATTGGAAATTCGGAATAACTGCTAAATGGTAGTGGAAATTCGGAATAACTGCTTTGGTAGCAATTGCATGGTAAAATTCACGGTACAATAAGGAGGTAGAACAGCTTCGTAAAACTACAGAAGTGCAGCCCTGAGGCTATGACCGCTTCCCGTCAAATTTCCTTTGAACAAGTTGTTTTCATTTATTCAATAATTTTCCTCAATTTTGAAATCAGTTAAACAGCGGGAAAAATTAATTAAATGCCTGGATTTTTTTTTCAAAAATATGATCTAAACGAGTCTATCGAATAGCTTTAGTGCGTGTCTCGTTATTCTGTTTTTATTTTTCAAAACAATAAACACATACACTTAGAAAAAAATTGTAATCAGCTGGTAGCTCTACCTTACCTTTTTATTTTACCATGTTATCAAGTATAGAATTAGAATAAAAATGTACTTTAAATGTACAAAGTGTATAAATGTTGCTAGATTTGTTTCTGTCAGATAAACGAATAGCCTGTGAATTCTAGAGTAAGGTATGAACTTCATTTTAGGCATGTAGGGCTAAGTTTGTACTAAAGTACGAATGGTTTTTGATTTGGTACCACTGAGATTTCGAAATTTTGGTATTACAATCTCTATTTGCGTATTGGGTTTCGACGTGGTAGGGTTTTTGTTATACCGGTGTTGTTCTACATTCGACTAAGTTGGATAACATTGGCATGGGGCGTAAAAAAAGAGCTGTTTTTTTTACAATTGTATTAGGATCACTGTGGGGGTCTAGAGTTTTGTTTCTAAAAATGTACGGAAAAGATAAAACTTTGAATTTTTATATTCACTGTATTTTTGGCAAGACCGATCGATATTTGTATTATAAGCTTGCGAAAAGTCCCAAGTGGTACTAAATTTGAAAGAAATTGTGTTAGGGTAATAAATGGAGCCCTTATATCGAGTTTGGTTTAAAGTCTCTCAAACAAACCGTTTTACAAAAAAAAAAAAAAGACTTTCAATGGACTGGTCCTTTATCCAGTGTCTTAAGAGGGATTTTCTTTTGGTAGAAGTCCAATAATATTTGAAAACTTAGCACTCATGATAATTTAATCCAAACTATAGTAAGATAATGAACCTTTCTCTGTGTATCTGTGTATTGCTCTAGACTTATAGAGCGTTCTAAATCATTTTTTGTTATAATTTTCTGAGCCAAAATTTCATTTTCTAGTAGTTTCCCAAAAATACGATCGTTTCTTATTTTCATTTTTGAACAATGGCCCTACTGGCGTATGAATAACGATAACACTCATACGCCCGCACAAACACACATAAATTCATTAAGAAAATGTCATCCTCTCTCTCTCTAAAAACCATTCACTTCGTTCTAAATCATTCCAACAAACGTAATATCTAAAAAACCATCTACCTTTGAGTGACTCTTGCCCAGTGCTTGAGTCGAATTTTCTCTTGGCGAAACCTTATCCCTGTTATAATTCCTCCCGAATTTAATTAATTTATAGAAGCCTTCTCTAAGATTCTGCATTAGGTTCTGAGCTCAATATTGATTTTAAATTGTTGTCTTAAGACTGTTTTTGTTATTAGTTCCAGACATATCTGTTTTAGTAGTTTCCCAAAAATACGATCGTTTTTTTCCAAACAATGACCTTCCTGGCGTATGTATAACGACAACAATTATACGCCCTTTGCTATCCATAATTTAATTAATAAATTCTCATCCTCTCTCTCTCATTCCCTCTAATTCATCATTTACCACTCATTTCAACTATCATCATCATTCCCAATCATCACTCATCAACATCTGAACTTAATATAAGAACCATACTTTTCCTTACCCATATACGGAGCCTGAATACTGCGTGTATAACATTGACCGGCTGCACTGCTGCCAGTACCATAGCCCGCATAATAGCCCTGTGGTCCGGCATAATGTTCCAAATGTTGACTGTGACCGGCCGGCGGACCTGCTGGCACCAATTGTGTGCCACCCGGTGGCGGTGGTGGTGGCGGTTGACCTGCCTGACTTGGCGGCGGTGGTGGTCCTGCCACCTGGCCGCCAGTCGAACCAGCTGAGTTAGGTGGTGGCGGCGGCGGTCCTTGTTCATATAGATCGCTGGGTGGTGGCGGATGACCCGGCTGATAGTAGGGGTAACGGCGATAGGCCGAATGATGTGGCGGTGGTGGTGGGGCACTTTGATAAACTTTGGTTGTTGGAAAATACGGTTGATAGGCAGGTGGTGAATAACACATTGGTTCACCGGGATACGGTGAATAATAGCTTGCAGGATATGCGGGGGCATAATGCATTTGGGCATGCATTGATCGGGGATATGGTGGGCTTTGATGTGCTGCTGCGGCCGCAGCCGCCGCTGCTGCTGCATGAGCGGCTGCCTGTTGGTGTAGCTGATGTTGTTGCTGCTGCTGTTGTTGATTGTGATGGGCAGCGGCTGCCGCTGCGGCGGCACTGCTATTACCACTTTGTGGTGGATAACGATAGGGTGCCAAATCGCCGCCGGTTAGTAGGAGTTCGGAATCGCCACCCTCGGCGGGCGATGCATTTGGTTGGCCGGGCGCCGGAAGATGTTCGCCGCCATCGACGACCGTCGCCGATTGTGTTTGGGATTTGACTTTTGTGTTGGTCGTCGCTAACAATGGCACATTTGGTGGTAACGATGATGGAGGCGGTGGTGGTCCAGCTGTAACTGGCTGTATAACATGTGGTGAGATCAATGGACCCGCTGGTTGGTAGTAACCTGAAAAAAAAACACGAAAAATGAATTAATTTTTATTTACTTTTGCAGGTAAAAAAATTGAGATCGTTACACAAATAAAATTCGAAAAATACAATAATTAGACTATTAGGCAGAATCCCAATTCTTCTCCCAATAGCACGGAAAAGAAGAGTGATATTCAGTCGACACCGAACGCAATATGTGAGATCTATGTTAAAAATATATGCTCTGTTCCAGAATCTGCAAGAATCTACTAGTTTTGTATTTTTTTCGATATCATAAAGGATAAATAACGTTATCGTAGTCGATACCTAACCGATTGTCGATAGCTTATCAATAGCTCATTGGTAGCTTACCGCCAGGTTATTAATCAAGTCGATAGCTTATCGGCAGCTCATTAATCTATATATATAAAATAAAGTTGTGTTAGTTACTACGCTTATAACTTAAGAACCGCTGAACTGATTTTAATGATTCATACAAATTCGGAATTGTCTCCTATCCGAAAAGGATAATATCCAAAAAAAAATTGCGTAAAAATGTGATATATTAACATTTCCATTTTGACTTTTGAAATGTACAATAGTAATGTTTTATTTTGCATGATTTTTTTCCATTTTGACTTATAGTACGTTTACATATAAATGGGTTAACCCACAGTATTTGGATTAAAATTGTCATATCCATTACTTATACTTCAAATAAATCCTCTTGAAGTAGGTTAAACCTGCAAAAAGTTCTAACGTAAACATGACATTACTTTTTTTCTAATGTACATTTGTAGTGTTTTTTATATTTTATTTTTGAATTCGAATATTAATACCAATTTATTTAATTGACTTGATTTCTTGAGAACTGAAATTGAAAAAAATGAAATAAGTGCGAAATACGATATTAACTGACATCTACCATTCAACTCCAGGGCCTACATCGTACTTCAGCTGGAAGATGCGCACACATTTAAACAAACAAAAATGACCGAAAAAGCCTAATGGGGCTCATTTCAAAGCGTGGACCTACTTCTTTCATGTGACAATAATCCGTTCAATGAGAGCTCAAAATGCAAAATTGTTTGGGAGTACAATCAGTAAAATACCAAATATAAAGGGTGCAAAATAGTAGAGCGAATGGGACTTTTAGTAAGAAAAGGATTTCTATCCTTCCAGAAATTCTTCCCGAACATTCAAGATACCTTAAATTGCAGGCCATGATATCGATCATATATAGCCATCGTATGATTTAAGCTATTTTTGGGGTCTTTGCACTTTCTTCTATTTTTGGCCCTTATTTGGCATCTTTGTTTGTAAGGGGGTAGAGAATCTCTTCGCATAACATTTTCGGAGTAGGGCCCATATTGGTCTTGACCACATTCATCAATTGATTAGACTAAAAAATTTATGCTACCCTGGGGTAAGGAACCATCATACAGATAATTGCCACATAGGAATTTATTTAAGTAATGTCCCCACATTGGAGTATCTCCAAGTCCACTTTCACATCTAATGTGTGGTCAGAAAAGAAAATTTTGTATTCGATTGAATTTGTAACCCCCAAAACAATATTGGTTGGGAACGTAGATTTGGGATGTACATCTATATGAAATAAATTGTGAAAACATGAACAAATTACAAATATAAGAAAGTATCACGGGACCGAATATTTGTTGAATCGTCATTGAATTATACTATGATGAAAAATATGGACTTTATGGGGTCTCCAATTTACAATTTAAATGACAAATAAAATTAGTTCCCATCTTACGGTAATGGGTGTAAAATAGTAATTATATTTGACTATTCTGAAATCAGTCTGCCTTCAATTATGAGGTGGATAAAGCTATTTTTACTTATTTAAATCACGTGATTTTTTTTTCAGGTTGACATGCTATGTTGTTCTGCTATATTTTTGACTTGGCCTCTATTTGTCATCTTGGATTCTAAGGGGTGATGAAAGTTTTTAATGTAGGTCGATGTTTCGCAGTAGTGCCCATATAAAGGTACTTCCTGATTTTACCATATTTCAAAGGATTTGACTAAAAATGTGTATTTGGGGGGTGAAAATCTTACACAAAAATTTCAACATATCTACAAATTTTAGAAGTTTCTCCATGTAATAGCACTCCCTCAAGTCCACCTTTTGGCGGACACTCAGATCGACATGGTTAGGGGGACTTATGTGGGCTCAAATGTACAATCTGAGGTGCTAATGGGTTTAAAAAAGTAATTAACTTTGGCTATCCTTAAATCATTCAGTCCTCAATTATGAGGTGTACAATATACAGTAAATTCCAAATTACTGCTCATTTGACTAAAAATTAATCGACCAGTATGTGAACACTTATAACAGTCATATCTGTGAATAATTATGCTTTGACAAATATGCATAATAGACAAAAACTACGGGCCGGCAACGCGGACCGGGCCAGCTAGTAGCTCATAAATGTCAAGTCGGTAGTTCATCCATTCTTCCAGTTCTGGAACAGAGCAATGGCCTGTCGATAGCTAATCGACTGCTTTTCGATAGTTCACCAATAGCCCATCGATGATTCGTAGATAGCTCGTTAAGATTTTATCAATAGTTAATCGTTTCTTTGTCGAAAACAAATCGATTACTTGCTAATAGCCCATAGATACCTCACCGATAATTTGTCGATACCTAACCGATTATCGATAGCTTATCAATAGCTCATTGGTAGTTTACCGTCAGGTTGTTAATCAAGTCGATAGCTTATCGGCAGCTCGTTAATAGCTCATAAATGTCAAGGCGGTAGTTCATCCATTCTTGCAGTTCTGGAACAGAGCATCGACCATCTAGATAGCTATTCGATTGCGTTTTCGATAGTTCTCCAATAGCCCATCTATGACTCGTCAATAGCTTAAAAATAATTCATTGAGATCTCATCAATTGTTAATTGTTTGCTTATCGATATTTTGTCGAAAACTAATCGATTACTTTTGATAGCTCATAAATATCTTACCGATAATGTCAAACCGATTATAGCTCATTGGTAGCTTACCGCCAGGTCGTTAATCGATACCAAGTTGATAGCTTATCGGCAGCTCGTTAATAGTTCATAAATATCTAGTCCGTAGTTCATCCATAGCTCATCGATAATTTATTGCTAACTTGTCGATATTTGAAGTATAGCCTATTGAGAGCTCATGGATAGTTAATGGTTAGCCTGTATAGTCAATAGAAGGTTAGCCTTATCAAAAGCTTGATGGCTCGTTGAAGCTCAATCGCAAATAGCTCAATTATAATTAAGTCGATACCTAACCGGTAGTTCGTCGATAGGTTACCGACAGGTTGTTAATCGATGCCTAGTTGACAGCTTACTGACAGATCGTTAAAAATTTAGTCGGTAGCTCGTCGTTAGTTCATCCATAGCATGTCGGTAGGAAATCGATAAAACATTGCTAACACATAGATAATCCAGCGAGAGCATGTAGATAGCTCATTCATAGCTCGTCGATACAATGTAGCCGTCGATAACCCATTCTTAATCGATTGCCAGTTCATCGATTGCACGTCGATAGCTCATCCATGGTTTGTCGACACTATGTCGTACAAGTCGACAGCACTCCAGTATCCTATTTTTATACCCTCCATCATACATAGTATGGAGGGTATATTAAGTTCGTCATTCCGAGATCGTATAGCCCCCATATAACGGTACCCCACGATATTCGGTATTTTGATGATTGTAGTCAAACTTTGTCAATGAAATTATCTGAAAATCCACAAAAGGAGTTCCTACTGAGTACTTTACCCACTGGGACATTATTCGCCGGATTTGTTCCAAATTTCGTATTTAGAATACGTAATGGATACTACAGCTTATGACAAAAAACTGCGTATGCAGGCTCACGTCTCCGTATAGCCTCCATATAACGGTACCTCCCAATATTTGGTATTTTGATGATTTTAGCGACATTATTCACCGGAGTTGTTTCAAATTTCGTATTTGGAGATCGCAATGGGAACTACAGTTTGTGACAGAAAATTTTCTATACAGGTCCAGGTCTTCGTATAGGCCCTATATATGAGTACCTCCCTATATTCGGTATTTTGATGATTTTAGATACAATATTCTCCGAAATTGTTTGAGATGTCGTGTTTGAAGTTCCTAATAGGTACTACAGCCTGTGACAGAAAATTGTCTATGAAGGTCCAGGTCTTCGTATAGCTCCGATATAACGGCACCTCTCTATATTCGGTATTTTGATGATTTTAGGTAGTTTACTCACCGGATATATTTTTTCAAATTTCGTATTTGAATATTGTAATGGCTTATGACAAAAATTGCCTATGCAGGTCCACGTCTTCGTATAGATCCCAATTTGACGGCTTAATTCGTTATTTTTCAGATTTTATCAGAATTTTTAACGGATTTTGTTGTTTTTTTTTTTTTGAAAATTTCTAAATTCTTTCCGAATATTGGAGGGGATTCAAATTCGGCCCGGCCGAATTTACAGCTTTTTTACTTGTCATATTCTATATACATAACCTATAGAGGTTTTTCGGGGTGAAGTTTCTTGGAAATTGTCGATCTATAAACCCCTGTAGTAGATGTTCATCTATCTCTAGAAGACTTGTAATAAATATTTTATCTAAGAAATCCTGTAGAAAGCCTTCGATCTTTAGACGGGGAATATAAATTCAAAAAAGTAGTTGTAAAAAAGGAACAAACTCCGAAAGTGTTAAGGTGTTAAGGTCAGAATGCAAAGTGTTAAGATGAGAATAAATAAAACAGCTTTTTTTTGACTGGCACAAGGAGTTTTAGGTTGACTTAGTTCGATTTTGGACCCTAATTTACACTTGTTTACTCTACGCTACTTTGTTCTTTTCCAAAGAAGCCAGCCGATGACTTAAGCCAGCCAAAAAAGCCTGTTGTGTACTCTCACCTTTAGAGATTAAAACCTGGTAGAATTTTGGATTTACTGTTAATTTTAAAATAAATTTTGAGACCAACAAATCTAAAAAAAAATAAAATCTCCAAAAATAGCAACGGCTAAAACATA